AACAGCATGGTACTGGTACCAAAACAGAGATATAGACCAATGGAACAAAACAGAGGCACCGGAGGCAACACAACATACATACAACTATACAATCTTTGATAAACTGACAAAACAAGCAATGGGGCAATGATTCCATGTTTAACAAATGGTGTTGGGAAAACTGGCTAGCCATGTGCAGAAAGCAGAAACTGGACCCCTTCCTGACACCTTACACTAAAATTAACTCCAGATGGATTAAAGACTTAAACATAAGACCTGGCACGATAAAACCCTAGAAGGAAATCTAGGCAAAACTATCCAGGACATAGGAGTAGGCAAGGACTTCATGAACAAAACACCAAAAGCAGTGGCAACAAAAGCCAAATAGACAAATGGGACCTAATCAAACTCCACAGCTTCTGCACGGCAAAAGAAACAGTCACTAGAGTGGATCGGCAACCAACAGAATGGGAAAAAATTTTCGCAGTCTACCCATCTGACAAAGGGCTGATATCCAGAATTTACAAAGAACTCAAACAGATTTACAGGAAAAAAAAACAAACAAGCCATTCAAAAGTGGGCAAAGGATTATGAACAGATACTTTACGAAAGAAGACATATATGAGGCCAACAATCATATGAAAAAATGCTCATCGTCACTGGTCATCAGAGAGATGCAAATCAAAACCACATTGAGATACCATCTCACGCCAGTTAGAATGGCGATCATTAAAAAATCTGGAGACAAACAGATGCTGGAGAGGATGTGGAGAAAAAGGAACACTTTTACACTGTTGGTGGGAGTGTAAATTAGTTCAACCCTTGTGGAAGACAGTGTGGCGATTCCTCAAGGCCTTAGAAATAGAAATTCCATTTGACCCAGCAATCCCATTACTGGGTATATATCCAAAAGACTATAAATCGTTCTACTATAAGGACACATGTACACGAATGTTCATTGCAGCACTGTTTACAATAGCAAAGACCTGGAATCAACCCAAATGCCCATTGATAATAGACTGGATTGGAAAATGTGGCCACTATACACCATGGAATATTATGCAGCAATCAGAAATGATGAGTTTGTGTCGTTTGTAGGGACATGGATGAATCTGGAGAACATCATCCTCAGCAAACTGACACAAGAACAGAAAATGAAACACCGCATATTCTCACTCATAGGTGGGTGATGAAAAATGAGAACACATGGACACAGAAAGGGGAGTACTAAACACTGGGGTCTATTGGGGGAGAAAAGGGGAGGGCCAGTGGGAGGGGGAGGTGTGGGAGGATAGCCTGGGGAGAAATGCCAAATGTGGGTGAAGGGGAGAAGAGAAGCAAAGCACACTGCCATGTGTGTACCCTTCACAACTGTCTTGCATGCTCTGCTCATGTACCCCAAAACCTAAAATCCAATAAAAAATCAAAAAAAAAAGTGGGCAAAGACAATGACAGCACCTTCTCAAAAGAAGACAATGTGCAGCCAACAACATATGAAAAACAAATCTCAACATCACTGATCCTTACAGAAATGCAAATCAAAAACTCAGTGAGATACTATCTCCTGCAGTTAACAATGGCAATTTATTTAAAAAGTCAAGAAACAACAGATGCTGGCAAGGCTGCATTTTAAAAAAACATTTTTAATTGCATTTTAGGTTTTGGGGTAATGTGAAGAACATGCAAGAATGTTGCATAGGTACACATGTGACAGTCTGATGGTGCTGCCTCCTCCCCTCACCTATAACTGGCATTTCTCCCATACTCTCTCTCCCCAACTATTCAACCCCCTCTGCACTTTCTATGTTTTACTTTACCTCTAGCTGGGATATCTATTTTTAACTGATAAGTAAATAAAAATTATATATATAATGGTATATATGATGATTTCTTAAAAGATGAATTTCCTGGTTTGGTTCTGGTTTTCTGGAAATTTTTCTCTATCAAATTAAAGACATTAAGGGTTTCAGGTGGTGTAAACAAGCACTTGTTCAATAGAGATATGCAAAATATGACCATTGGATACTTCTAATCAAATATTATAAAGGCAAGTTCTGGGTTATCATGTATTTGATAGCATAGGGCATTTTTTTGTAAACTAAACGGATAGAATGATATCGACAGGCTACTCCTAACTGCACTGGACAAAGTAGGGCAAGACAAAGGTTTCATTAAATTTATTTTCCAATTAAAGTATGTATGGGGAGATAGATACACATGCAATAAATATGTATATAGTGACTGATGTATAAAGTTTTACATACTTGTAGATCTAAATTTGCTTATTTATTAAGGATGATTTAAAGATACAATTCTCACTGGAAATCATAACCAAAAAGTTGGAAGCCATGTATTAGGGTTGAAACAATTACTCAAGTTAAGCTACTTTACATTATTCCAGACTGTGTGGGGTGGAGGGTGTGAACAAGATCTAAAGTACATTGGGACCCTGGAGTTTCTGACTCCCTTCTCTCTATTTCAAGCATACTGAGCTTAGGACTATGTTCAGGTTAATTTGAAAATAAAAGACTATGTACAAGCTCTCTAACACAAAATAAGTGCTTATAATGGTAGCAGTCCAAGGATAGACTATATAGTAAGTATTTCAATAATTTTGGTCTATTTTCCATAGTCTCCTATAGTGTGTCACTTGCCTGACTTAATGATTCAATATAAAATCTGATTATTAATCAAGTACATTAAAAATGTATGCCATCCCCATCAAGCTACCATGACTTTCTTCACAGAACTGAAAAAAACCTTGAACTTCATATGGAACCAAGAGAGAGCCCGCATAGCCAGTCCAATTCTAAGCCAAAAAGAAAACCGCAGAAGCAGCACAACTACTGGACTTCAAACTATACTATAAGGCTACAGTACTCAAAACAGCATTGTACTTGTACAAAAACAGAGATATAGACCAATGGAACAAAACAGAGGCACGGAGGCACACAACATATCTACAACATACAATTTTGATAAACCTGACAAAAACAAGCAATGGGGAAAGGATCCCTGTTTAACAATGGTGTTGGGAAACTGGCTAGCCATGTGCAGAAAGCAGAAACTGGACCCTTCCTGACACCTTACACTAAAATTACCTCCAGATGGATTAAAGACTTAACATACACCTGGCACCATAAAAAACCCTAGAAGAAAATCCAGGCAAACCATTCAGGCATAGGAGTAGGCAAGGAATTCATGACCAAAACACCAAAAGAATTGGCAGCAAAAGCCAAATAGACAAAATGGGACCTAATCAAACTTCATAGCTTCTGCATGGCAAAAGAAACAGTCACTAGAGTGCATCGGCAACCAACAGGAATGGGAAAAAAATCTTTGCAGTTTTACCATCTGACGAAGGGCTGAAATCAGAATTTACAAAGAACTCAAACAGATTTAACAGGAAAAAACAAACAAGCCCATTCCAAAATGGGCAAAGGATATGAACAGACACTTTATAAAGAAGACATACATGAGGCCAACAAACATATGAAAAAATGCCTCAATCATCACTGGTCATCAGAGAGATGCAAATCAAAACCACATTGAGATGCATCTCACGCCAATTAGAATGGCGATCATTAAAAATCTGGGAGACAACAGATTCTGGAAAGGATGTGGAGAAATAGGAACACTTTTACACTGTTGGTGGGAGTGTAAATTAGTTTCAACCATTGTGGAAGACAGTTTGTGTGATTCCTCAAGGATCTAGAAATAGAAATTCATTTGACCCAGCATCCTATTACTGGGTATATATCCAAAGGACTATAAATCGTTCTACTATAAGGACACCTGACACGAATGTTCATTGCAGCACGGTTTACAATAGCAAAGACCTGGAACCAACCCAAATGCCATCGATGATAGACTGGACTGGGGACAAATGTGGCACATATACACCATGGAATATTTGCAGCAATCAAAAATGATGAGTTCATGTCCTTTGTAGGGACATGGATGAATCTGAGAAACATCATTCTCAGCAAAATGAAACAGGAACAGAAAATGAAAAACTGCATATTCTCACTCATAGATGGGTGTGATTGACAATGATGAGACACCCATGGAACAGAGGGGGACCACTACACACTGGGGTCTTTGGGGGGAATAGGGGAGGGACAGTGGGGGGGGAGCTGGGGCGGGATAGCATGGGAGAAATGCCAAATGTGGGTGAAGGGGAGGAAGACAGCAAATCACACTGCCACGTGTGTACCTATGCAAGTATCTTGCATGTTACAATGTACCCAAAACCTAAATGCAATTTAAAAAATAAAGATAAAAATGTATCACTATGTCCACTGGCATAATTCGGAGACAATTAACATATCAGTCTATAACTCTTTATGTTTGGAAAAGAGATATAGTATCTGAGATGAAAAAAATATATTTTAAAATATGAATATACAAAATGTACTGTTCCTTAGACAGAAACTTTTGTTCCTTGAGTGTAATGGCTTTCAAACTATTCTTTAAAAATGGCTTGGTGGTCCCAAGAGTTACTTGGTGCTTGAGATAGAATAGAAGAGAGAACAAATACACACACACACCACACACACACACACACAGAGAGAGAGAGAGAGAGAGAGAGAGAGAGGGCACTTATTTCACTCAGAAAAGCCTCCCTTACAAATATTTCATACTGGGCTTATCTCATATGTTGTTCAAATAAAGAACTCTTTCTGGTATTTTCTAAGACACTAGTCATAACCAGGGTTGATTAGAACTGAAAACAGAAATGCACATATTTGAAGAAAATCTTGAAGTGTGTAATTTATAGTAATTTTCTTGCTACTTCAGGAAATTTCTCTTCAAGACAACCTTAAAAGGCATATAGTAGAAATACCATTGAGTAAGAAGCACCAGAATTTTTCTTCTCTTGCATGTTATAAGTTTTGAGTCCTGGAGTATCATTTTATTTTTCTTATTTTAGTTTCCTTCTTGGTAAAATTAGATTGCCTAGACTAGATTGAAGTAGCAAGTAGGTTTCAACTCCAGTGCCAGATCTAATCATTGGGAGCATCTTCCTAAAGTAATGTGTTCTGAAAAGTTCTGAAACTACATAGGAAAGACCACTATAATCATTTAAACAATATCTGTCACAGACAGGGGAGTGTGTGTGAAAGCTTCAGGCAAGATATTCTATATTCCTGGGCTAGATTATCTCTTAAATTCCTTTCCAATTCTGAACAATGTAATATACTTCAGATTTTAAAAGCCAGAAACAAATCAAATAAAGGTAAAGCACATTAATAAACGACAAAGAACATTCACTACTGTAAAAATTGCACCAAGCCTTCATGAGGAATCCTCCTCCATATCTCGAATACTTTTCACTAGGCCCCACCTCCCAACACTGCCACATTGAGGACCAAATTTCAACGTGTTTTGGTGGGAACAAACCAAATATCCAAAGCTGTCCAAACCATAACCTTCTTCCCTTCCCCCTAAACTCATGTTTTTCTCACATATATCATTTCATCTCAATAGTCTCAAAAGTCTTAACTTGTTGCAGCATTAACTCTCAAGTCCAAAATCCAGTCTAATTCAAGACTCAGGCAAGTTCCTTGCAGCTATGAGCCTATAAAATAAAAACCAAGTTTTTTACTTTCTAGGTATAATGATGGGACGGACATTTGGTAGACTTTTCCATTGCAAAAGGGAGACATAGGCCAAAAGAAAAATGACAAGCCCCACATAAGTCTGAAGCCCAGCAGGGCAGACATGCAGAATTAAATCTTTTTTTTTTTTTTTTTTTTTTGAGAAAGGATCTTGCTGGGTTACCCAGGCTGGAGTGCGGTGGCACAATCATGACTTACTGCAGCCTCAGTCTCCTCGACCCTACAGACTCTCCTCCCTCAGCATCTTGAATAGCTAGGATCACAGGGGTGTGCCTCCATGCCAGGCTAATTTGTTAGACTTTTCATAGAGACAGGGTCTCCCTATGTTGCCCAGGATGGTCTTAAACAACTGGGCTCAAGTGACCCTACTGCCTTGGCCTCTCAAACTGCTGGGATTACATTATATCTTTAAGCTCCAAAACAATCTCCTTTGACATCGATGTCCTACATCTTGGGCACATTGGTGTGAGGGGTGGGCTCCCAAGATCCTGGGAAGACCTGCCCACATAAGTTTCCATGATGCAGCCCACGCGGCTGCTCTCACAGGTTGGAGTTGAATGTCTGTGACTTTTTACTGGCTAGTATTGCACACTGCCTGTGGCTCTACCATTCTAGGGGCCCAGTGGTGGCTCTTCCCCTAGGTCTCCACTACGTAGTGCCCTAGTAGCAATTTCCTGTGGTGGCTCTATCCTGTAGTAAGTTTCTGGCTGGGCTCCCAGGCTTTCAGATACATCCTCTGAAATCTATGTGGAGGCCACCTAGCCTCCATGACTCTTATATTCTGTGCACTTGTAGACTTTGTACCATGTGGAAACCATCAAAGCTTACAACTTGGGCCCTCTGGAGCAGTACCTGAGGCTGTTAAAGTGACGACTGCTCTATCCTGAGTGGCTGAGATTTGGGGAGCAACATCATGAATTGATGTAAGGTGGTGCACCAGGTTCATCCTAGAAAACCATTCTGTCCTCTCAGGCCTCTGGGATTGTGTTGTGCAGGAGAGCCATGAAGATCCTCAAACGCCTGTGTGTTCTTCTCATTGTTTTGACTATTTGCACCTGTCTCCCTTTTAGCCATGCTAACTTCTTTAGCAACAGGTTGCTCAGCCAGTCTTGATTCCTCCTCTGAAAATTTTCTTTTATTCTCTACCACAAGGCTAGGCTATGATATTTTCAAATTTTTATAATCTGCTTCATTGTTAAGTATAAATTCTGCTTCTTGCTGCCTTAACTAATCATAAGCTATTAAATGGAACCACACTAACTCTTGAATACTTTGCTGCTTAGAAATTTCTTCCATCAGATATACTAGGTTGTTGTTCTTAAGTTTGGCCTTCCACAAAGCTGTAGAGCATGGACATAATGCAACTAAATTCCTTGCAACTTTATAACAAGGGTGACCTTTGTTCTACTTTTCAAATACTCATTTCATCTGAAATATCATGAGAATGTCCTTTACTATCTAATTTTAGTGACTATTACTTACCCAATCTCTAAAAAGTTGCAAATTTTCCCTCATTTTTAGCCTTCTTTTGAGTACTCACCAAAAGCACCCCAATGCTCCCATCACTGCAATACCATCTTCTTCTATCCTGCTCTTCCAAACTCTTCCAACTTCTGCCCTTTACCCAGTTCAAAGTCACTTCCCCATTTTAAGGTATCCTTATATCAACAATCCAGTCGTTGGTACCAATTTTATGCCTTAGTCAATTTAGTGTTGCTATAACAGAATACCTGAGGCTGAGTAATTTTTAATGAAGAGGTTTATTTACTTCACAGTTCTGAAAGACAGGCAGTTCAAGAGCATGTCTCTGGCTTCTGATGAGGTATTTCATACTACATGCTCATAACATGGCAGAGGTCAAAGGGGAAATAGACACATGCAAAGAGACAAAACTCAATGCATATCATGGCTTTATTAACAGCCCACTTTTGAGGTAATGATGCATTTCCATGAGAATTAAACTAATCCATTCCCATAAGAAATAATCCTGTCTCACCAGAGAACTCATTGACTACTGTCAGAATGGCACCACGTCATTCATGATGGATCCTCCCTCATGATCCAAACGCCTCTTACTAGTCTCCAATTCCCAACACTGCCACATTGGAGACCAAATTTCAAGATCAGCTTTGGTAGAACAACAAACCATATCGAAACCATAGCAATCAGTTTCTAAAAGTAGGAATAATGTGTTGTTCATAAGATGATTCTCATTCTCTAACAAAGTGCCTGCTACATAGAATGTAATTAAAAATATGGGTCAAATCAGTGAATAATTATAATTACTATTGATAGTAGCATTTTAGAACTTAAACATTACAAAATATAGAAAATTTGATTTTAAGGCTGAGTTTTTTGATGACCCAGAATGTCTTCTCCCTTAATTACATATTCCCAAAGCATAGCATGGTGGCAGATACATTGTAGGAAACAACAACAAAAAAAGTAGAATTGAGTTGAATTTTCCTCTGGCCATTAACCATGTAGACTGTTGTCCCATTTGCAGAGGAGTCAGTCATTATACCAAAGGTTAATTTGTTTTTTCCTACCTCCATTCCAAGCTATTTATTATAAATTAAATAAACACACTCTTCCCCAATTCTTCCACTTAGCACTTTATTAACACTTAGAAATGATTTCTATCACATGTGATGTGTATATATTTCCAATATATACAGAAAAAAAATGAAAGGAAATAAAATTATCCACTATTTTTTTCAAGTATCATCAACATAAACAAAACTGTTTATTTTAACTGACTTCACCTCTTCCAACCAGTTCAGAAAGTGTAAGTCCAATTCTTCATGACTTATTTTCACTGATGTTGTCGATAAAACCAACAGAAGTGTCAAAATGCTTTGTGAATAAAGAGGCAGATTATAATTATACAAGATAAATAGTTGAGGTAAAATCTGTATACCTTCTCTGCTTTGTTTTTCTATGTTACTTGCATGTCGTATTTGGCTTAAAATTCTATTCCACAGTTTAGACTTTCTGCTGCCACAGAAACTGCAGCATTCAGTAAGACCAGAATGTAATTTTTAAATTTAAGTAAATAAAAAAGTGTTTGTGCCCAAGAATTTGACTTTATAGTTAGTGTTCAGGAATGTATTTATTTTATATATGGTCATCTAAAGAGAATTTAGGGGCAGAGAGAGGCAGGAAAAAGTGGTTCCTTTCAGCCTAACTTTAAGAGTGATGGCAGTGAGTTGAAAACACACAGATTTTAGAGCTATAAATATTTACAGAATCGCTATTTCCCTGCTGTGTAACCCTGGGAAGGTTACACAATTTCAGTTTCTCCACCAAAAATGTAGCAGTAATAGTATCTACTGTATTAGTCAAGGTTCTCCAGATAAACAGATAGATATGTAAATAACTATATACATGTAAATCTCTCTCCATATATATAGATAGATAGATATACACACATATATACATATCTATCGACATCTATATATTTGTAGATCTACGGACATAGATATATCGACATAGATATTTACATCTATGTTCATACATTTTTTATATGTATAGCTATGTTCATATATATAGATATCTATACATCTATAAAGACATGCATCTGTATATCTAGATATATCGATCAATGTCTACCTATCAAAAAAGATGTATTTATGTAGGTATAGGTAGATACGTATATATTTCTATCTCTATTATATATGCCTACATATACATATATATAGAGAGAGAAAAGAGAGATTCATATAAAATTTATTTAAAAGATTCATTTTAAGGAACTGGCTTACACAATTGTGGAGGCTGGCAAATTTGAAATCTGCAGAGCAAGCTGGGTGACTGAGAATTCAGCAAGAGTTCATGTTGTAGTTTTGAGTCTGCATGCAGTCTGGAAGCAGAGCTCCTTCTTCCTCAGTTGGCCTCAAACCTTTTCTCTTAAGGCTTTCATATGATTGAATAAGATCTGCTCACCTTTATGAAGGGTGATATGTTTTACAAAGTCTATTAATTTAAACATTAATCATATCTAAAAACACCTTTACACAACCTCTGCACTGGTGTTTGACCAAACTACTAGGCATTATAGTCTAGTTGGAGCATAAATTAACCCTCAAACCTACTTTTCAGGGCTATTGTGAAGATTAAGTGAAATTATGTAGGCAGAGCACCTAGCAGCACCACTCAGAGTAGGTGCACAGTTTTCATGATGTCCAGTCACAGTAACACAATTGGGACCTGAAAAAAAAAAAAAAAAAAAAACGGAGAAAAGTGTTTTATAGCCATTGTATTTTACTCAAAAGTGTAAGAAATGAAAGTGTGCCCATTACTGTCCCCCCTGCCCATTCCACCACATTACTCAAGTAGTAATACAAATTAAAAGCTCAAAGCTCAATTAAATGATATTGTATGTCAAAACTTTTAAGTTTGTGCAGGAAATAAGATGTATTTCATTGTAAAAGGTAACCATGCTGTGTTGTGTTAATGGAGGAGTGAGGAACATGGCAAATTGATACAACAAAACAATTCAACAAAGGAAATTATTTAAAAAGTAAATTAATGTTTCTGAAAGTTTTACTATGGGCACAGAGATGTATTGTCATAAGGAAATGACTCAAGATGGTAATTCAACTCCACAGAAACGAATGAAGAGAGCCAAAAGGGTAAATAAGAATATATATATTAGAAATCCTTATATTTGTGTTCTGTTCTCTTCTTATAGTCTCTTTAAAAGACAGATTATATAATGTTATAATTAAAACAAGGTGCTTATGAATTTGCAACATATACAGATGCAATATGTATAATTATAATAATGTAAATGGTAAAAAAAGGGGATAGAGTTTATAGGAGTAAACTTTCCATATTTCACTGAAATTAAGTTAATATGAATATGAAGGAAATTTTGATAAATTAAAATGCAAATATAAGTCCTAGACAGAAACATTAAGAAAATAACTACAAACACAGTTTTAAAATAATCAAAGAATTAACAGGTTACACTAAAAATATATCCAATTTACTTAAGGAAGACAGTAAGGAATAAAGGAACAAAATGACATGAGACATAGAAAATGAAAAGCAAAATCATAGATGTCAATCCAACTATATCAATAATAACATTAATGTCACCAGAGTGAACAATCCAATCTAAAGGCAGATAATAATACAATTAAAAAAACAACATCCTGCTGAGTGTGGTGGCTCACACTTGTAATCCCAGCACTTTGGGAGGCTGAGACAGGCAGATCACAGTCAGGAGTTCAAGACCAGCTTGGCCAATATGGTGAAACCCTGTCTCTACTAAAAATACAAAAATTAGCAAGGCGTGTGGCAGTTGCCTGTAGTCCTAGCTACTCATGAGGCTGAGGAAGGAGAATCACTTGAACTCAGGAGGTGGAGCTTGCAGTGAGCCGAGATTGTGCCACTGTACTCCAGCCTGGGCAACAGAGCAAGACTCCGTCAAACAAACAAACAAACATTCAATTTGAAACCTTCTATGACACACACTCTAAATTCAAAGATAATAACTGGTTGAAAGTGAAAGGATGGAAAACAACATAAGATGAGTAACTACACTTAAATCACAGAATAGGAGGAGGATCCAAGATGGCCAAATAGGAACAGCTCTGGAGTACAGTTCCCAGCGAGAACAGTGAAGAGGGTGAGTGCTGCATTTCCAAACAAGTTTTCACTATCCACAGACCAGGAGATTTCCAGGTCAAAAAGCACCACAAGTTTTCAGCACAGCAGTTTCAGCCAGTGCAGCACTGGTGCACAGAAATTCTCACAGGTCTGGGCAGCCGTTTCGACTGGCATTAGGAATGCCCAGGAGGCAGAGCCTCCCATTCAACTGAAAGTGAGGGGGCAAAAACAGGGAACCAGGTGATCTAGCTCAGCGGGTACCACCCGCACAAAACAAGCAATCTGAAACGCTCTGGACTGAGAGTTTTGCAGCAAGTGCAGATGGACCCAGTACGGTACAGCTCTGTGGGGGAAGGGCATCCCCCACTACCAAGAAACTCCACCACTACTGAGGCAGTTCACAGAGCAGCTGGCAGAGCCTGTGGCAGCCTGTGCTGTCAGACTGTGACTAGACTACCTCATATGGGGCAAAGCATCTATGAAAAAAGGCAGCATCATGACAGGAACTTATAAATAAAGTCAACCTTCCTAAGGCAGAGCACCTCGGAAAAGAGGTGGTTATGAGTTCAGCTACAGCAGACTTAAAGGTACCTGCCCAGCAGCTCTACATGGAACAATGGAGCTCCCAGCACAGCACTTGAGCTCCTATAAGACACAGACTGTCTCCTCAAGCAGCTCCCCGACCCCTGAACACCCAAAGAGATGCATCATAATGGAGAGCTCAGGTCGACATCTGGTGGGTACCCTCCTGGGACAAGAATAGCAGAGGAAGAAATGAGTGGCAACCCGTGCTGTTTTGCAGCCCCCGCGGGCGATCCCCAGGTGAGCAGGGTCTGGAGCGGACCTCCAGTGGTCCTGTAGCAGAGGGGCCTGACAGAAGGAAAACTAAGAAGCAGAAAGAAATAGCTTCAACATCAACAAAAAGAAGGTCTGTTCAGAGACCCCATTCAAAAGTCACCAACTACAAAGACCACAGGTAGATAAAGCCACAAAGATGGGAAGAAATCAGCACAAAAATGATGAAAACATCCAAAAGCAGAATGCCTCTCCTCCTCCAAGGGATCACAACTCCTCACCAGCTAGGGATCAAAGATGGATGGAGAATAAATCTGATGATTTGACAAAAACAGGCTTCAGAAGGTGGGTAATAACAAACTTCTCAGACCTAAAAGAACATGTGCTAACCCAATGCAATGAAACTAAGAACCCAGAAAAAGGTTAGATGAGATGCTAACTAGAATAAACAGCTTAGAGAAGAATATAAACGACTTGATGGAGCTGATAAACACAGCACAAGAACTTCATGAAGCATACACAAGTTTCAATAGCTGAATCGAACAAGCAGAAGAAAGGATATGAGAGATTGAAGATGAACTCAATGAAATAAAACAAGAAGGCAAGATTAGAGAAAAAACAAATGAACAAAGCCTCCAAGAAATATGGGATTACGTGAAAAGACCTAATCTAGGTTTGATAGGTGTACCAGAATGTGACTAAGAGAATGAATCCAACCTGGAAAATACTCTTCAGGATATTTATTATCCAGGAGAACTTCCCCAACCTAGCAAGCCAGGCCACCATTCAAGTCCTGGAAATACAAAGAACACCACAAAGATATTCCTCAAGAAAAGCAACCCCAAGGCACATAATGGTCAGATTCAACAGGGTTGAAATGAAGGAAAAAATGCTAAGGGCAGCCAGAGAGAAAGGTTGGGTTACCACCAAAGGGAAGCCCATCAGACTCACAGTGGATCTCTCGGCAGAAACCCTACAAGCCAGAAGAGAGTGGGAGCCAATATTCAACATCCTTAAAGAAATAAAATTTCAACCTAGAATTTCATATCCAGCCAAACAAAACTTCATAAGTGAAGGAGAAAAAAAATCCTTCATAGACAAGCAATTGCTGAGAGATTTCATCACCACCAGGCTTGCCTTACAAAAGCTCCTGAAAGAAGCACTAACTGAGGAAAAGAACAACCAGTACCAGCCACCCCAAAAACGTACCAAATGGTAAAGACCACTGACATAATGAAGAAAATGCATCAACTAACGAGCAAAACATCCAACTAGCATCAAAATGGCAGGATCAAATCCACACATAATAATATTAACCCTAAATGTAAATGGACTGAATTCCCCAATCAAAAACACACACTGGCAAATTGGATAAAAAGTCAAAACCCATCAGTGTTCTGCATTCAGGAAACCCATCTCATGTACAAGGACACACATATGCTCAAAATAAATTGATGGAAGAAGATTTATCAAGCAAATGGAGAGCAAAAGAAAGGAAGAGTTGTAATCCTACTCTCTGATAAAATGGACTTTAAACCAACAAAGACAAAAGAGACAAAGAAGGGCATTACATATTGGCAAAAGGCTCAATGCATTAAGAAGAACTAACAATCCTAAATATATACATACCCAATACAGGAGCACTTAGGTACATAAAGCAAGTTCTTAATGACCTACAAAGAGATTTAGACTCCCACACAATAATAGTGGAGACTTTAACACTCTACTGTCAATATTAGACAGACCAACGAGACAGAAAATTAGCAAGGATATCCAGCACTTGAACTCAGATCTGGACCAAGCGGACCTAATGGACATCTGCAGAAATCTCCACCCCAAATCCACAGAAAATATATTCTTCTCAGCACCACATGGCACCTACTCTAAAATTAACCACATAATTGGAAGTATATCACTCCTCAGCAAAAGCAAAAGAATGGAAATCATAAGAAACAGCCTCTCAGACCACAGGGCAATCAAATTAGAACTCAGAATTAAGAAATTAACTCAGAACTGCACAGTTTCATGGAAACTGAACAATTGGCTCCTGAATGTCGACTAGATAAACAATGAAATGAGGGCAGAAATAAAGATGTTCTTTAAAATCAACTAGAATGAAGACACAATGAACCAGAATCTCTGGGACACATTTAAAGCAGTGTCTAGAGGTAAATTTATAGCAATAAATGACCACCAGAGAGGTGAGGAAAGATCGAAAATCGACACTCTATCATCAAATTGAAAGAGCTATAGGAGCATGATGAAAAAAACTCAAAAGCTAGCAGAAGACAAGAAATAACTAAGATCAGAGCAGAACTGAAGGTGATAGAGACACACACAAAAAAATCCTTCAAAAAATCAATAAATCCAGGAGCTGGTTTTTTGAAAAGATCAACAAAATAGACAACCGCTAGCTGGAATAATAATTAAAAAAAAGGTAGAAGAACCAAACAGATGCAATAAAAAACTATAAAGGGGATATTGCCACTGACCCCACAGAAATACAAACTACCATCAGAGATTACTACAAACAACCCTAAGCATGTAAACCAGTAAACCTGGAAGAAATGGATAAATTCCTGGACACTTGCACCCTCCAAAGCCTAAACCAGGAAGAAGTTGAAACCTTGAACAGACCAGTAACAAGGGCTGAAGTTGAGGGAGAAATTAATAGCCTACCAACCAAAAAAAGTCCAGGTCCAGACTGGTTCACATCTGAATTCTACAAGATGTACAAAGAGGAGCTGGTACCATTCCTTCTGAAGCTATTCCAAACAATACAAAAAGAGGGAATCCTT